TTTAAGATGTTTAAAATTTCTTGGTTGTTTTTTATATAATTTTCATGGTATTTGATGATCTGTTTCCAATCATCTGATAATTTATTAAAAATTTCTAAATCTTTGTAATTATCATTTTTTCCTAACTATTTTTTTTGTTTTTCTAATATTTTTTTTATGCTGTCACTTTCTTGATCCATTCAATATTTAGAGATCTATTTTCTTGTGTAAGAGGAAAGAGAATTGTTTGTTGAGTGTGAACTTTCAATCTTTCTATTGAATCAGGTAAGTTGTTAGGCATAGGATCTTTAATTTTATACAATTCACATATTTCTTTAACAAGATCGAGAGTGTGAGTATCAGTTTCTTGTTAAAATTTACGTCTATTAATCAAACCCCAAAATCATCCATGATTGTGTTAAAAGTTTCAGCTTTGCCTCTATAATCTCGTTTTTGTATAAGCCATTCTCTTATTCTTGTAACATGGTCTTCTGTAATTTCTATCTTTTCATATGGAAGTCTATCATCTTCTTCTGGAATAACAGGTGGAATGATGGGTTCAGACATTTTGTAATTTTTTTTCCTGATTTCTTGTAAATCTGAGGTTTTTTTTCCTTTTAAATATTTATCATCCAAATACTTAATACTCCAATCAAAGTCACTCAATCTTTAAAATCTTCTTTGTTTGTAGAAGTGTTCATTCTATTTATAATAACTTGGTAATACACGATACTGTTTTCTTCATATATGGATATGATTTTATCAATATATTCTATCATTTCTTGAGTGTAAAATGATGATGTTTTATCAAAAGTTTTTTCATCATTTAATTTAAATTTAACAAAATTCAAATAGATCTCAAAATTTCTTAGGTAAAATTTTCCATCACGCGTTTTTGTATCGATGCTTGTTTGTTCATCTTTTAATGAATTAATTTGAATTTGTTGATTAGTTTTACTGTAAAATTTGTTTAAAATGATGATTGAATTATCTAAAAATGTATTAACAATTTTGTCCAGAGATATTTTTTTATCTTTTAACAAATGTTCATTTTTACCAAAGCTAGAATATTTTTGGTCAATTTACCATGACCGTGCGAGTCAATGATAAAATCTTCAAGATTTTTAATGTTGTTGATTTCATTTAAAACTTTATTATAAATAATATCAATAATTTCACTGATTCTTCTCGGTATTTCTTTATTATAAAAAGCTAATTTTTGATTTGGAGTTAAAATTGTATCTGATCCGATTTCATTTGTTCTTATTTTATTTAATTCTTCCAAGGTAAAGATTCTGTTAATTCGTTCAACATACAATATGTAATGATCGATTAATTTCAATTCCTTGTTAATCAGGTCTGTTAAAATTTTAGAATCGTTTTCATACAAGTTATTAAATTTATTCTTGTAATCTTCAAATTTTTCTTGTTCATTCGTTATTTAATTGGATTTTATTTAGATATTTCAAGAAATCGAGTCTTTTTTGATGGGATTCTTTTAATTCTTGTTTAAGATCATTTGGAAAGTATGATTTTAATCTTTCGTGATTTTTATAATCGGGAATCTTGTATTCTTTTAGGTTTTCGATTTTCTTGTTTAATTTAACAAATATCAAAAGATGTTTTAATCGTTCGGTTCGAAGTTGATGAAGTAATTTTTTATTTTTTTCACTTAAACATGAATCTTTATGTTCAATTTTTTT